GTCCCTAGGATCGTGTACATTGGAAGTTTAATGGCTGGGCTGAGCCCGACCAACCAATCCTTGTTGAGGAGGAAACCTGCAATGTTGAATGAGACGGAAGAGGGACACAGAAGTAGAGGCATGTAGATATATCAATGGGATGGTGATGGTAATGGTGGTGGTGCTGGTGGTGGTGATGATGATGATGATGACGACGACGAGGAGGAGGAGGAGGAGGAAGAGAAAGAGGAGGAGGAGAAGGAAGAGTGGACAAAGTGACAGCGTGGGAGTTTGGGAGGGAGAAACAATTGAGATTCTCACAGCAGATTCCCGAGGAGAGGATGAGAGTAGAGAAAACAAACACGAGGAATCGCCAGCGGGTCATCCTCTCCCCAGGCTCAGGCGCGACTCTCCATATGATCAGCCCGCCGATGACGATCAGGCATAGGCCGAAGGGGGGGGGGGGGGAAAGGGAGATGGTCACTTGGTCATCATGAGCGGAGACTTCAACTTGTTGGGCGGGCTATAGCTGTTCCCCGATGACAACGTTTGCAGCAGCTCCTGCTAGCATGACAAAAAATCATCAGCGGCTGTTGACATGTTGCAGGTGAAACATCATCTCAGTGAGAATGCAGCGACACAAGAAGTTGATCAGAGGCGAAACGAGACAAAGAAACTTGTGACAGCCCAGCACAAACTCTCACAATCAGTACACGCTTGCATGTCTGTCACTGTCTCTAGTGCTCAACGACCTCTTCCTCGCCACTAGGCTAGCAGATCTCGTAGCTCCCCCTGCCCCTCCTACTGACTCGCTCCAGCATATCCATCTGCTTCACAAGATTACCTTGGCAGGCATCGCCGAGGAAGAGCCACCTGCTGTGACATCAGGCGTGAGATGCTGACAACTTAGTCCAGATCAAATCATGCAGCAAACGTCATGCGCATGTGTTCCTGACTCAGAACAAACTTCTCAAGTATTCCTCCTCCTCCTCCTCCTCCTCCTCCTCCTCTTCCAGCGTTCTCCACCTCGCCGTTTCCTCACCAACCCCACTTTCTCCGGGAGACCTCCCGGAGTTGTGAAAAAGAGAACACCCTGAGGTACCGTATCCTTCCTCCCTCCTTCTGCCTATCTTCTCGCTTCCCATCCCCAGGCTTCTTCCATCGCTTGTGCTCTCTTCTGACTCGCTGCTCTGACCTGCGTCCTCCCTTGTTCCTGACGTGCTCCTAGGGGCTAGTCCGGCCGTTAACTCGAACCTCTGAGCCTGTAGTAACGGTGCCGGGCCGTGGGCCGGCAGTCTCAGTGAACCGGGTCCGATCGGGCCCGCCGGGGGACCCATGCCACTACCCGGCGTCATCTACGTCTGGTCGACGACTGACCGTCTGCCTGGGGCGGGCCGAGTGGGCGGATGACATTCGATTAGTTTTAAAACTAAAATATTTTCCTTACCAATTGTTTTAATATTTTGTCAATTATACTTATATTATTTTATTTTATACCATATAAGTTTAGTCTTCTATTCCAAAATATTTTAAAAGTGTCGCCAGGACCTAAGACCCCTGCACCTTCCTAGCCAGGTCCTACCTAGGGATATGACTTTTCTAGGACCTGGATCCTAGTCTGGGTAGGCCGTAAAATGGACGGATGCCGTACCCCTGGTGTAGGACATATATTGTCTAATAAGATCATTATCTGCTATCTATAAAATTTTTATATATGAAGAATGTACCTAATATAACTACAAAGCTGTTGATTTAGCTGAGTTTTAAGTAATTTTAAGCAATATTTTCTTATTTTAACCGGATGCAGATGGCACGTCACGCGGCATCGGAAGTCTATTTAAACTGAAAATGGGTTACAAGAATGGCGGGGATGCCGGGGAAATGATGGCAGAGGAAGGGGGAGGAGGAGGTGAAGGTCAGAGGATGGGGAGGAAGAGAGAAGAGGAGAGGAGATCGGAAGAACGTGACTGAGAGAGGTGGTGAAGGTAGAGGAGGTCACGCCGGGGAAAGAGAACAGGGAGAGGGGGAACAAGTATTTGAAGGGGAGATGATATGATCTAGACAGAGGACTACCTGAGTGTTCAATGCCATGACAGGAAAACAAACATGACCAGCAAGCATATCATCCTGTGATTCTTGCAATCAGCTCATTTTGAAAGGGTTCGAGGTCGATTCCAAGTTGAATCTTCGAACAAGGGGATAAGCTAATTGTGAATAAGGGCGAAGTTGTACAGCGAACATGCCAAGATTGAGGATCGATGAAGGAGGGAGGATAGAACAGCTTCGATGTTGTGGGAGGGTGTTTATTAGAACGAAGGACTTGAGAGAGGAGTGGAGCAGCAGTGGAGAAATCTCCTGGAAGAGGCAGGGAGGAGGAATCGATTCGATTGTCAACTTCATCTATAACCATGCGATCGTTTTGAGGCAGATGAGGGTGACATATTGACGAAATATTCCATGTCTTCTTTGCTATCCTCAACTAAACTTGTCATCATCATCATCATCCCCATCATCATCATCATCATTGCATGTCTCGTTCAACGCTGAGGGCTCTTTTTCTCTAGGAGCACAGATCAACATGAAGCAGAAGTCCGGTCGAGAGCAAGCTGTGTGGGCGGCGGACAACATCAAACCCAAGATCTCTGGGGTGTGGGATGTGGCCGGATCGCTCTTCCTTATCACCGCTCCCCCGATCTCCGTGCATCTCCTTGCCTATACGCTCCTCAAGCTCGATGGCTCCTGGAACAACCTGGCCAAGGTCGTGTCGGACGTCGGCATCGTGCAGACCTTCTCGCAGGCAGTCCCTTCCTCCCAGGAGGTCTGGCAGGCCGTTCCTTTCGTGCTCTGCTTCGCTGCCTTCCAGCTGCTGTGCATGTGGGTAGTTCCGGGCAAGTACGTCGACGGGCCCGTCGCTCCTTCGGGCCATGTGCCCAAGTACAAGGCCAACGGCGTTCAATGCTTCCTCCTCACGATCCTTGTGTGGGCGATCGGGTCCTATCAAGGGTTGATTCCAGCAGGATGGCAGTACGACCATGCCAACGCCATGTTCGCCTTCCTTAACGTGTCTTCCATCTTCTTGTGTATGCTGCTGTACCTCAAGGGAAGGTTCCTCCCTTCCACTGCTGACAGCGGGCACTCTGGAAACTTGATCTTCGACTTCTTCTGGGGTACGGAGCTCTACCCGCGCTTCGGTCACTGGCTGTGGCCGATCGGATGGGACGTGAAGCTCTTTACCAACTGCAGGTTCGGGATGATGTACTGGGGCCTCTCTACGCTCTCCTATGCTGCGAAGCAGTACGAGCTCTACGGCTTCATCAGCGACTCGATGCTGGTGTCGTCGCTCGTCCAGGTAGTCTACGTGCTCAAGTTCTTCTCGTGGGAGATGGGCTACATGAACACCATGGACATCCAGCATGACCGCGCTGGTTTCTACATCTGCTGGGGCTGCCTTGTGTGGGTGCCCTCCCTCTATACCTGCCACACTCTCTTTCTCGTCAACAACCCCTACATGATGGGAAGAGCTGTCACCGCGTTCCTCCTCCTCTTCGGTCTCCTCGGAGTCTGGATCAACTACGAGTCAGACGCGCAGAAGATGAGGTTTCGCAGGAGCGGAGGGAAGTGTATGATCTGGGGGAGGCCGGCGAAGAAGATTGTGGCTACGTACACCACCAAGGATGGAGAAAGCAAGCAGAGCTTGCTGCTGCTCTCGGGATGGTGGGGGGTCAGCAGGCACTTTCATTACATCCCTGAGCTCATGGCGGCGTTCTCCTGGACGGCTCCGACGCTGTGGAAAGGCAACTGGGCCGGGTTCACCTACTGGCTGTTCCTCGCCTGGCTCCTGACCGACAGGTCAGTTCGTGATGACGCGCGATGCAAGAGCAAGTACGGCGAGAGCTGGACCAAGTACTGTGAGCTCGTCCCGTACAAGATCATCCCTTACATCTTCTAAAGGAGAGGAGGAGAGGTCAAGGAGGAGGGGGGGGGGGGTGGGGGGGTTCGGTAAATACGGGTGAAGAGGAGGATAAGACGGGTAAAGAGGACAGGGAGGATGTGTTGGTCAAGCTTCGTCCTGGTTGCGATGGAAGAGACGGATAGTGATAAAGAGATGGGACGTGAAAGTTGTCAAGCTTGTCAAAGGTACAACAAGATATTGATTGGTCTTCTTTGTCGGGACACTCGTGGGCTTGTCTTGTCTCAACCACCCAGGGACGTTGAGCCGTTTGGTCTTGTCATGTTGTTGGTTTGTAAGAAAAAGGTCAAACAATAGCTCTGCTGGGGGTGATGCTAGGATGGAACTTGGCGGACTGTGGTCCTTGTCAACCTTCACTCCTTCACATATTGTGCTTGCCTGTGATGGTGTGAGATTGGAGGGCTGGAGGTGAAGACGTCAGAGGAAAACACGACCCTCGCTCCCTCCCTCGCTCCCTCCCCTTCCTTCCTCGCTCGCTCCCTCTCTCCCTCCGCTCCTTTTCTTCCTCTCTCCCTCTCTCCCTCCCTCCCTCCCTCCCACTCTTCTCTTGTTCCCCCTTCGCTCACCTCCTCCTCTCCCTCCTGCAACCCCTCACATTGCTCGTCCTCACCTTTCTTCGACTTGTCGTCTGCTCATCCTCATCCTCATCTTCGCCGGGAACGCTGGAGCTTCTCAACATGGTCAAGTTGTCTTTTGCTTCTTTGCAGTCGGGCGACAACTGCAGCAACATGTCAACCTGGAGTTTGAGTAACATCGACAGACTCGAAGGCACTGTTCGTAGTAGCTGGCAGCCAGCTCAAAGTTTCTTGACAACCATGTCAAAATCTCCACAAAGTGAACAAATGTTCGCACCCGAGGCAGTGAAAGACAGCGCCAAGGTTGCTGAGGATAGCTGAGCACTGTGGGAAATCTTTGAAAGCATGAGACAAGAGGGATGAGAGGGATTGTATCGCCTGCTGCTGCTCGCAATAGAATGTCTCTTGATCTTTGTAGCTGTCCCCTGATAGAGCAGTGAGGCGAACGAACCGTAGAGAGAAAGACAGAATGGGAATGAGCAGGAGCAGGAGCAGGAGCAGGAGCAGGGGCAGCGGCAGGGAAGGAGAGGAGGAGAGGCAGGGGCAGGGGCAGGGGCAGGGGCAGGAGCAGGAGCAGGAGCAGGAGCAGGAGCAGGGGCAGGGGAAGGAGAAGCAGAGGAGGAGAAGAGGAGAAGAGGAGAGGAGGAGAGCAGCTCTATTTGAGGAGCAGAAGACAGAGGTGAAGGAAAGAGGAAGCAATACTTTTTCACGAGCAAACTTGATAAGTCACAGATGACCTGAATGAAATGAATTACAGAACAGAGATTGAAGATTTGAAATGAGGACAAGGACAAGAGAGGACAAGAGAGGAGAGGAGAGGAGAGGAGAGGAGAGGAGAGGAGAGGAGAGGAGAGAGAGAGAGGAGAGGAGAGGAGAGGAGAGGAGAGGAGAGGAGA